AAAATTGGGAAAAAGTTGTGTTGGGAAAACGGGATTGTGAAAAAGGGGCTGTTACCCAGTGATTGAAGTACAGTAAAAAAATAAATAAAGTGAAGCTCCACAAATTTCCTACAGATGAAGAGAGGTAAAGGAGGCAGTGTCTGTCAATCCACACATGAATTACTGGATTGTGAATTTTTTTCGGACAATGAGAATTACTATCACAAATAATTTCAATTACAGTTGTGAAATGTGGGTGAGTTTGTCAGGGAATAAAGAAAACTTGGAGATCGTTTCAACAAAATTAAAATATCGATTTATTTGTGGAGAGCATTTTTCACCCTCACAATATTTTAATAAATTCAAGACCTTTCTAAAGACTAATGCTTTTCCTGACCTAAACTTGCCTCCACCCCTCTCCCCTGCAGTTATGCTGAAATATCCCGTTATTTCCTTGACAGAGCAAGAACCAGGTAACATACTGAATAGGACATATTCCATGCATTCTTGTCATAACTTCCCATCTTTGGAGATGCAGTCACAGTACCAGTTTTTTTTACAGCAGTTGAGAGTACTACAGCTTTGCCAGAGCGAACACGTTCATCATCCCCTGGACCCTGTCCAACAAAAGGTAGCCTCAATTAATCACACTCGGTATTAAGGACATAGTAGATATTGTGTTACTTACAAACAATTGGTGTTACAGCAAAGTGTCTGGCAAGGAAAGACCCCTCAGGGACTGCTTCTGTTGGCGTTCCTTCTGCCATTGAGCCTGATGTCCTGGAGGATCCAGTTTTGGAACTGACCAGACAAGAGGCAGTCGGGCTGAAAACACCAGAGGCAGTTGGTTAGTAATTTCAATTTCCAAAGGCCGTCACACAACAGTGCGGAGCCGGCGGCCCGCCCTGTGGGTGCCTCTCTTATCCTCGGGGACGACCAAAAACAATAGCGCTGCCGCGATGCGAGATGGACCGGTCTTTGTCTAGTGTGGGCAAGAAACTGCTGCACTCGCAGCCCGATAGTAGCATTTGTTTACATCGACGACTTTTTTATACAGCAGTAATACTCAAAACAAGCAGGCCCGCCCTTCCGCCAAACGAAGTTGCCAGCTTCGCTTCGCTCCACCGGTAACTCCGTTCGGCAGGGGCCGGGCCTGCTTCGCCTGCCGGCGGCAATGGTCGGGCCTGCGATTTGCTGAAGAACATGGTCAAGTGATGTAACGGGATTTGCTGAAGAACATGGTCAAGTGATGTAACGGGCCTTCGGCCCGCTAAAACCCGTCGTCTTTACAATTTGCCCCGTAGGCACGAGAAAGGGATGCAACGGTGAAGCACCGAGACTACAACCCACCCTTCTGCTTTGCAAACGTTTTTAGGGCGGGGGACGGGAGTTGGGCTCTTTCCTATTTTGCGGGTTTAAGGCCTTTTTCTACAAGTTTGTTTTCACTACACCAATTTACAGCTTATTTTCGTCAAAAAAGACCCTCCAGCGCCTAAACGGTTAGAGATAGAGCCAAACGGACAAAATATTCGCCCGGAGGGCTCTACATTCACAAGTTAACCCTTAGGAAACCATCCAATGTTTTCGAAAATTAATCAATTTATTTCGGGGCCACTTTTGTGAGAGAAACTCTCTCTAGCGCCCAAACGGTTACAGAGATAGAGCCAAACGGATGAAATTTTCGCCCAAAGGGCAAAGAGAAAGCACAGCAAGATATCGGGCTAAACAGAAGACTGCTCAGCAGTGTCAATTAGCTTCACTTGAAACGCCTGCCAAATCTGTGACAAAAGCTATGCTACGCGCCCTACGAACAAAGTTCGATCTCCCGGCGCGCCGTTCAACACTGTCCGATCTCCGGGCGCACCGTTCAACAAAGTTCGATCTCCTGGCGCGCCGTTCAACGCTGTCCGATCTCCTTTTCGAGGTTTGCAGTGAGGTGGAAGTTTAAACGCCTCGTACGTCTGTTCGTCAAGATCATAG